AAAAAAAATCATGTCAGGAGTGACTTGAGAAACTGCAAGTCACTTCTGGTGTGAGAGAATTCCCGTCTGCAAGGACATTGCCCAGGGGACGTTGCCCAGATGTTTTGGTGTTTTATCATCCTTGTGGGAGGCTTCTCTCATGTCCCCGCTTGGGGAGCTGGAACTGACAGAGGGAGGTCATCACTAGGGGCTCCACCTCTGTAATAATAACAGCTATATCATATCAATAATAATAATAATAACAACAACAACAACAACTAGAAGCCTATAATATCTATAGGTCTGTAATAATAATGAAGTCGATAGGAACATTAGGAGGGTCTTCCCCAGGAGGAGGGACCCTGAGACCCCACCAAAGAGGGATCGCTACTTTGGCGAGCTAAGAGAAGCCTGATTTCAGCAACTTTTTTTCCTTAAAAATTCAAAATAAATCTCACCAAAGTTGAAGAAGCGGCACCGAGGTGTTTTATTAGCAATTCAACTGAAAAGGATGCAATGTCGCAATCATTCGCCTACAAAGCATGTGGTTACAGGGATCAGAGACATTTTTATAGGAAAAACAGGCTTAGAAGTTTCAAAATTTCCACCCTCTGCCCTCCAACTGGCTCGCAGGGGATTGGCTGACACGATAACAGCTGGGAGGAGGCTCGGTCGCCCGCCCTGCACCAGAGCCAATCACAGAGCTCCTCCGCTGTGCAGGAACCAGTTGGAGAGCTCCTACCGCCTCAGCTCTTTGGCGAATCAGGAGAAGGGAGGCAGGAAGAAGAAGAAACAATGGCTTCATGAGTGGATTAATGGATTTCATGCCTTGGGGTCCTGAGTCCGAGAAATCTGGTCTGCAAAGGATGCCCAGTCTATTGTCTTTTGATGGGTCTGTTGATTGCTTTAACCGGACTTTCCTGTCGCCATCAGATATGAAGAGACCGGGGTGGATGTTTGCTATGTAGAATCTTGAATGAAAATGGTTTCGGAGGGGAAAAGACTTTTCTAGGGTCCTTTGCCCCCCAGTGTGATGTGATCAAGGATGCCAAGCGAAATCCTTTCATCGGGCGGGCCGACTCTGAGACCCAACAAAAGGCTTTCAGTCTTATCTTTCAATACACGAGTATCATGGCAAAGTTCTTTGTGAGTGCTAATTGTCCTTTCCGCATAGCGGGCAGTTTCTTGCTTGACTTCCCCCAAGGGGAGGGGGAAAGGAGCAAGGAGTTCAGAGTCCGGTTAGAAAATATGAGGGAAGAATACATGGGGAAATATAGGAATCACAAGAAATTCATATCAAGCCTCCCCTCCCTCCCCCCACCCACCAGAGAAATTGATGAAAATAATAATTTTAATAAAGCATGTGTCCATAGTTCATACTGGGGAAATTCATAGGTGAAAATGAGTTCATTAGAGCCAAAAATGATGTGTAGAAAGTTCAACAGTCATAAAAGGAGCCTGGTGATTTCCATTGAGCCAAGGAGCCAATTCCTGCAGCGCCAAGATCGAGCTGGTCCCTGGTCCTTGGGAAACTATAACTCCCTCCAATGACTGGGACCCCAAAGCCAGGCTCTTCCCTGAAAGCCTCATGGGGTAGCCACACCGAGTCTCCAGGTCAGGGGCTTGGCAGAGGCGATGGAATGGCAAAACGCAGCAGCGCAGCAGCAGCAAGGTCGGTCTTTTGACAATCAACTCTTTCTTGAAAATTATATTCTTAAAACTTAAAAGATTATTCCCTGGGCGTTGAAACCCGAAATGCAAAAAGCGAGATAGCAGATAGTGTTAGAATTAAGCTAAGAAAAATATGCCACCAAAATGGAGGCGATCTGCCATCTCACGGATATGGGGGCCCCTGGGGGTTTCCGTATCCGCGGTTTGGAGGAGCGCAGATTCGGCCTCCCCGGAACGCCAAGAAGGCATTCCGGGCAGGCCTGCAGTCTCCCGCGGCCTGGAAAAGGTTAGTTTCATGCATTAGGATAGTTTCAGGCAAGAAAGAGACACAAAGTATCAAGCTGGAGAGTTAAAAAGTTGCAATTTCATTAACCTTTATTTAGGGATTAGTTACATTGTTGGGACTAGCAAGGGAGTGAAAGGAGAGAGCACATGGCTGTGTTGAGTCCCTGGTTGAGCTTGCTGTTGGGGCACATTTCATCAGTTTGGCCCAATTTTAGTGTCCAGGAACTGGGGAACTCCCTGCTGCTGGTCACACCAGCTTGAAGGCAGGGGCCTGGGATGCCCTCGATGACAATAATATCCATACATCTGTAATAATAATACCTGTATGTCAATAATATCTATACATCTATAATGATAATAATACCTATATGCCTTTAATAATATAATCTGTGTCTATAATAATATCTACATGCCTATAATAATATCTATACATCTGTAATAATAACAACAATAATAATAATACCTATATAATATCTTTGAACTGGATTATATGGCAGTGTGGACTCAGGTAACCCAGGGCCCTTCCACACATCCATATAACCCTTTGGCCTCGAGGAGACTGAAACGGGCCTATCTTAGGTTGACACTTTGCCACTTCCGTTGTGTATTGATAGCTTAGAAACCAGCTCTTCCTCTTTTCTTTCTTTCCCATTTCTCCACAATGGGCCACAGCAACGCTGACAAAGAAACAGCAAGAAATAC